CAAGTCCTCACAGGATCACTGGTAGTAAGTCATCAAGTCCTCACAGGATCACTGGTAGTAAGTCATCAAGTCCTCACAGGATCACTGGTAGTAAGTCATCAAGTCCTAACAGGATCACTGGTAGTTGTGTCAAGTCCATTATGGAAATTTCTAGTTTAATCCACTCGTAAAGTCTTATTCAGAGAAGGTTTATCCCAAGCGCATTGAACTACCCAGACTGATCCAGGTCACTGTTCTGTCGCATGAAGCGCGCAGGTCAGGGTCACGTTACATACAGGTCAGGGTCGCGATAAATACAGGTCAGGGTCACGCTAAATACAGGTCAGGGTCACGATAAATACAGGTCAGGGTCACGATAAATACAGGTCAGGGTCACGATAAATACAGGTCAGGGTCACGATAAATACAGGTAAGGGTCACGTTAAATACAGGTCAGGGTAACGTTAAATACAGGTCAGGGTCACGATAAATACAGGTCAGGGTCCCGTTAAATACAGGCCAGTCACAATACAGGTCAAGGTCACGTTAAATACAGGTCAAGTAGCAGTGTCAGAGGCACAAGTAAAGATAAATCAGAGTCAAGTAACAGTGAGAGGAAAAGACAACGTTAAATCCAGGCCAGGTAACAGCGAGATGAAAAAGATGTTAAATCCAGGTCAGGCACGAGAGTCAGAGGTACAGGTCAAGTTAAATCCAGGTCAGGCAAGAGAAAGCGGGCAAGAGACCCACATGGGCATCACAAATACTACTCAAATAACAATTTTAGGGTATTGTGTATATACCTGGAGAGAGTGTCAGGGGTCAACGCCCCCTCGGCCCGGTCTGTGACCAGGCCTCATGGTGGATCAGGGCATGATCAACCACGCTGTTACTGTTGGCCGCACGTAAGCCGTGTGAGGGAACGGTATGAACAATATTTGGCTGGAGGGTGTTGTGGGTGGAATAACCCAGACTGGGCGGGACACCCATTTCACATCTTCACAATTACTGTTGCGGGCAGCACGGCTGCCTGCAGGCAACCTCACTACTGCAGGCAACCTCACTACTGCAGGCAACCTCACTACTGCAGGCAACCTCACTACTGCAGGCAACCTCACTACTGCAGGCAACCTCACTACTGCAGGCAACCTCACTACTGCAGGCAACCTCACTACTGCAGGCAACCTCACTACTGCAGGCAGCCTCACTACTGCAGGCAGCCTCACTACTGCAGGCAACCTCACTACTGCAGGCAACCTCACTACTGCAGGCAGTCTCACTACTGCAGGCAGTCTCACTACTGCAGGCAGCCTCAGTACTGCAGACAGCCTCACTACTGCAGGCAGCCTCACTACTGCAGGCAGTCTCACTACTGCATGCAGCCTCACTACTGCAGGCAGTCTCACTACTGCAAGCAGCCTTGCTGCAGGCAGTCTCACTACTGCAGGCAGCCTCACTACTGCAGGCAGTCTCACTACTGCAGGCAGTCTCACTACTGCAGGCAGCCTCACTACTGCAGGCAGTCTCACTACTGCAGGCAGCCTCACTACTGCAGGCAGCCTCACTACTGCAGGCAGTCTCACTACTGCAGGCAGTCTCACTACTGCAGGCAGTCTCACTATTGCAGACAGCCTCACTACTGCAGGCAGTCTCACTACTGCAGGCAGTCTCACTACTGCAGGCAGCCTCACTACTGCAGGCAGTCTCACTATTGCAGGCAGTCTCACTACTGCAGGCAGCCTCACTACTGCAGGCAGCCTCACTACTGCAGGCAGCCTCACTACTGCAGGCAGCCTCACTACTGCAGGCAGTCTCACTACTGCAGGCAGCCTCACTACTGCAGGCAGCCTCACTACTGCAGGCAGTCTCACTACTGCATGCAGCCTCACTACTGCAGGCAGTCTCACTACTGCAGGCAGCCTCACTACTGCAGGCAGTCTCACTACTGCAGGCAGCCTCACTACTGCAGGCAGCCTCACTACTGCAGGCAGTCTCACTACTGCAGGCAGTCTCACTACTGCATGCAGTCTGACTACTGCAGGCAGTCTCACTACTGCAGGCAGTCTCACTACTGCAGGCAGCCTCACTACTGCAGGCAGCCTCACTACTGCAGGCAGTCTCACTACTGCATGCAGCCTCACTACTGCAGGCAGTCTCACTACTGCAGGCAGCCTCACTACTGCAGGCAGTCTCACTACTGCAGGCAGCCTCACTACTGCAGGCAGCCTCACTACTGCAGGCAGCCTCACTACTGCAGGCAGTCTCACTACTGCAGGCAGCCTCACTACTGCATGCAGCCTCACTACTGCAGGCAGTCTCACTACTGCAGGCAGCCTCACTACTGCAGGCAGTCTCACTACTGCAGGCAGTCTCACTACTGCAGGCAGTCTCACTACTGCAGCAGTCTGACTACTGCAGGCAGTCTCACTACTGCAGGCAGTCTCACTACTGCAGGCAGCCTCACTACTGCAGGCAGCCTCACTACTGCATGCAGTCTACTACTGCAGGCAGTCTCACTACTGCATGCAGTCTGACTACTGCAGGCAGTCCTCACTACTGCAGGCAGCTCTCACTACTGCAGGCAGCCTCACTACTGCAGGCAGTCTCACTACTGCAGGCAGTCTCACTACTGCATGCAGTCTGACTACTGCAGGCAGCCTCACTAACTGCAGGCAGTCTCACTACTGCAGCAGTCTCACTACTTGCATGCAGTCCTGACTACTAAGCCAGTGCAGTCTCTCACTACTGCAGCAGTCTCCACTAGCTGCATGCAGTCTCACTACTGCAGGCATTGCCTCACTACGCAGGACCCCACTACTGCAGGCAGCCTTCTAGCTAAGCAACAGCTAACATCATTGCTACACACTGGAAAGCCTAACATAACACAAGAACTTTCTAGGCTGCAATGTTTGAATACATTTCCCTGAGGTGTGCGCATACTGGAAATAGATAAGTGAAGAAAGCAGTAAACAAAAGGAGAGAAACAAGTAGATATATAAGTGTTAGTGTAATATTCCTTGTAACTACAGATTAAATTATATTAATCATAACCATAATTTTTAAAGGGGTAAGCCAGTGGAAGGTCTCGGTCAGATGACCAAAAGCTCCAGCTGTGGGTCATCATATGACTCGCGTCAGGAAACACTTGTCCCGTTTCCTGACGAACCGAACCTAACTTAAGCTAACCCGACCTTACCTAACCTAACCAGACCTAGGCTAACCTTACCTAACCTAGCCTAACCTAACCTAAGCTAACCCGACTTTACCTAGCCTAACCTTACCTAACCTAACCAGACCTAGGTTAACCTTACCTAACCTAGCCTAACCTAACCTAACCTAGCCTAACCTAATCTTACCTAACCTAACCAGACCTAGGCTAACCTTACCTAACCTAACCTAACCTAAGCTAACCTAACCTAACCTAGCCTAACCTAACTTTACCTAACCTAACCAGACCTAGGCTAACCTTACCTAACCTAGCCTAACCTAACCTAAGCTAACCCGACTTTACCTAGCCTAACCTTACCTAACCTAACCAGACCTAGGCTAGCCTTACCTAACCTAGCCTAACCTAACCTAACCTAGCCTAACCTAATCTTACCTAACCTAACCAGACCTAGGCTAACCTTACCTAACCTAACCTAACCTAAGCTAACCTAACCTAACCTAGCCTAACCTAACTTTACCTAACCTAACCAGACCTAGGCTAACCTTACCTAACCTAGCCTAACCTAACCTAAGCTAACCCGACTTTACCTAGCCTAACCTTACCTAACCTAACCAGACCTAGGCTAGCCTTACCTAACCTAGCCTAACCTAACCTAACCTAGCCTAACCTAATCTTACCTAACCTAACCAGACCTAGGCTAACCTTACCTAACCTAACCTAACCTAAGCTAACCTAACCTAACCTAGCCTAACCTAACTTTACCTAACCTAACCAGACCTAGGCTAACCTTACCTAACCTAGCCTAACCTAACCTAAGCTAACCCGACTTTACCTAGCCTAACCTTACCTAACCTAACCAGACCTAGGCTAGCCTTACCTAACCTAGCCTAACCTAACCTAACCTAGCCTAACCTAATCTTACCTAACCTAACCAGACCTAGGCTAACCTTACCTAACCTAACCTAACCTAAGCTAACCTAACCTAACCTAGCCTAACCTAACTTTACCTAACCTAACCAGACCTAGGCTAACCTTACCTAACCTAGCCTAACCTAACCTAAGCTAACCTAACCTTACCTAGCCTAACCCGACCTAGCCTAACCTTACCTAACCTAACCTAGCCTAACCTAACCTAACCTAACCTAGCCTAACCTAACCTTACCTAATCTAGCCAGACCTAGGCTAACCTTACCTAACCTAAGCTAACCTAATCTAAGCTAAGCTAAGCTAACCTAACCTAACTTAAGCTAAACTAACCTAAGCTAACCACTGTAACTACCTACTGGCGTAAAGGCCTTTACCTATAGTTAAACTAATACGTACTTGAGTTTTAAAGAGGCTTAACGTAAGCTAAAATATTAAATATTTAATATGATCGTCGATTTAGATTGTTCAGATAATTAAACGCGCTTAAAAAACGTTAAACTCCAAGTAAATAAATAAATAAATAAATAAATAAATAAATAAATAAACTCCAAGGCTATATTTGGGGTTAGGCTGGAAATAGAGACGCCTTCCCAGAAAAACTCTACGGTTAAGCACACCCACGTTTCATTACGTGTATCTGAAACAGTTCCTGTTAGTAAATGTAGTCAGTTACTGAACAAGAGATGCATTTTGCTGGCAAGCGTTTTGTGGGTCGACGTTTCGCTCTCTGTAAAACTCTATTTTCATGTCTAAATACACAGAAACGTTGTCTCAACACGTCAAAATGTTGCCTCAACACATCAAAACGTTGTCACAACACATCAAAACGTTGTCGCAACACAAAACATTGTCGCAACACATCAAAACGCTGTCTCAACACATCAAAACATTGCATCAACAATGCTTTTGTTGACTAATGTCGGCAAAAAGCTGTTTAGATTCATGGTCAATTACCGGTGTATATTCTAGCGAAAAAAACGAAAGTGCTCTTCTAACAGTAGAGAAACTTTTCCGTTTTATGTGAATGAGGAGAATAATGTTTCTTTACGTAGTGTATAGAGAGGAAGTTGGTGAGAGGCAGAGAGGCAGGGAGCGTGGGTAGGAAGATTTAGTAGGATGAGAAAATCAACTGTCCTGGGAGAGTTTATGTGGGTGGTGCTCTGGTACCAGACTCTTGCAACATCAATAACATCCCTCTTACTCTGAAGAGAATTGTCTAACCATGGCAACCTTCACGTGATTCTTAAATTATAAATATGAGGAGAGACAAGTGACTGATAAATCTCTACACACAGCAAATATATTTTGTTTTTTTTAATCTTGGCAATACACGTTTGATATATTGTAAATCTATTACTAAAATAATTGGAAGACGTGATTTTTTGAAGATGGGAATGACTGGGTTAAATTTTCCAAATTAGTTTACATATCTAGCCATAACTGAAGAAAAATAATTTCAACCAAGGTTAACATTATACCTTAGCGACAAAGAAAACAATTATTTTCAACACTATCTTAAATTAAGCATTGCATGATTAAATACACATTATTCTCACATCTCGTAATCGTCTAATCTCCTGACACCTCACAGGATTTGCCCTGATGATGATGGGGGATGAGTAAAGCATTTCCTGTAGTTTAGCCTCAGAATATCTTGTCAATAAAGACACCAAAATCTTGCACATGTGTTTTATTGACCTACTAGTCGGTATTATATACCATTAATGTAATAATACAGCGGGGGCCTAAACCAGCATTATATTCATCAGCTGCAACCGCTACTGAAAGTTGCAATCATAGTCTTCTGGAGTACAAAGACTGTTCATCTGGCGGTCTTGCAATGCGCGACCATCACCTTCACCCGAGGATTAGACTTCAACTTGCGCTCCGCACTCATCCCCAGTGTGATATAACCTACAGCTGAGCCACATTGACGGATACCCTGCATCTGCTTCTAGCCAGGCCAGATACATCAGCCTGTTGCTTGACTGACAGACTC